GCAAGCTCCTCACATTATTTAATGGAGATGTTATTTTTCTTCCAATGCTAAAACAAACAAACAAAAAAATCAAATTTTCTCTTATGCTCTTGGGAGAAAGGCCATGTACACAAGTTAATACTACGATTCATTCATAAATGAAACATCCAAGTTCTTACCAGGTAATACAGGTTCTGCCTGATGTCCTACGATTACCTCATATACCAGTAGTAATGTACTCTACTCTACAAAGCCAAGGCTCAGCTTAACTACCTTCTTTCTACAAAAATCTCTGTGCAATCACACAAACCAAAGCTCTTTCTTTCTTGCCCTGTAGTCAATGGTTTAACACTCATTTCATGTAACAAATATTTATTAAATATCTGTATTGGTACATTATTGTATTGAGTATAGCAATGAACAAAACAAAATAGTTTCATAAAAACTACATTTTAATTGTGAAAGACATATGATAAACAAATAACTTGTCAGGTGGTGAAAAGTGAAGTGGTATGGGGGGAAAAAAGAAAGCAAGGAAGAAAATAGGTTGATTGAGGAGGATTTCTCCTGGTCAAGGAAGGCTTCTATATAACATTTAGATGACATCTGAGCAGAATTCTAAAAGAAATGAGAGAAAAAATGAGCCATGCAAATATCTAGGAGAGAAAATTCTGAACAAACAGTCCTTTGCATGTGATCCCTTATATGACCTAGTCTTTTATGTCCAAAAACACTATGAACAAAGATATATATATTTAAGTCAATGCTCTGAGAGAACTACATTATCAGAAGCACAATATTAAAGGGAATAAGAATGCAGACTAAGTAGCTGAAACCGGTTTGGCTCAGTAGGCCTGTGGACTGAAAGGTTCCAGGTTAGATTCCGGTCAAGGGCATGTACCTTGATTGTGGGCACATCCCCAGTAGGGGTGTGCAAGAGGCAGCTGATCGATGATTCTCTCTCATCAATGTTTCTAACTCTCTATCCCTCTCTCATCTCTGTGAAAAATCAATAAAATATATTAAAAAAAAAAAAAAAAAAAAAAAAAGAATGCAGACTAAGTAAAGAAATCCCTTCAGTTAAGGCCAGTTGGCCAGTAGCTTTCTGGCCAGCAATCGTTCAGGGCACCATGTCTGCTTCTGTGGGCACTGTCTTTTAACTGTCCAAAATGATAACCCTCCACATGTGGCTATTTGAATTTAAATTCATTAAAATTAAAAATTCAGTTCCTCAATCCCATTAGCCATATTTCAAGTGTACAACAGCCAAATGTAGCTAATGGCTCTCACATTGGACAGAGCAGACACAGAACATTTCCATCTCCATAGAAAGTTGTATTCTACAGTACAAATTGTAAATTTTCAGTAAATCACAAACATTATCGCCATGCTATGCTACTTCTCTTACCACTTTTCTAGGAAGGAAAATTCTATTCTTTAGACTTTTAACTAATACCATAAATCATTCAGACAAAAATCCAAAAATAAATTAATAATGTACAATATTTTAAGTACTTCTAAGTTAGATGATTTTCTTGCAACTCAAATTAACACATAGAGAGTGAAGAGAGAAGAAAGCAGCACCAGTCACCAACCTAGCAACACTTAACTGCAAGGCAAGAGATATGTCCAACTTTTCCAAGTGGGCTAAAATCTACAAAAGTGTGGATTTTGTTCTATCCTGATCAGCTCATCTCTCCTACCATTCACCTATATCCTAAGAAAGTTGCTATGCAAAGCCATAATTTTTAATGACTTAGTTTTTCACATTGTCACAATAGTAATTACAACAACAAAAAACATTTCTGGCAAAAACAAGTATCTCTTTTTTAAACTAAACTCCTATATAATATATATCACATTAAACTCATATTCCCACCCTTTTGTTAGACAAATTATATACAAGACACTTTTTTCACAAATTCTGACCAATTTATGACAATGTTTTATAGTCACAAAACAGTAATGAGGGGTTGGGGGAGGGGGGGATGGACCAAATATGCAACAAAATTAAATTTTAGATATCAAGTCGACTAGAATAAGCCAGGCAAATCCACTACAAAAAAACTGCAACTTTTTGTAAACTGATGTGTAAACCAGGTTTCCTTTGACAAATTAAGACAAACACATACTTCATTATTTTGAAATTATAAAACAGAAATTAATTTCATTTCCTACACATTTTACACAAATAAGTATGGTACAACTAACAAAGTAGTAGCTTAAAAGCTGAATGCCACTGAAATGATTTAAGTTACTAACCCAGCACCGTGTGATTACAAGGCATTAGAGCACGTCCAACTTTTCCTTTATCTTACTTGGAGGAAAAACTTACAGTCAAAAGAGCTAACTACAACACTGAGGAAGCAGAAACAATTTTGAAAAAACAAATACTAATTATACTTTTTATTAATATTACTTTCTTCATTCTTCATTCCCACGTAAGATAATAAAGACGTTATATGTCCTTTTCTTTCAGGTAGTGAAATTTTCTTCTACATGTACCTATCCCAATAAATCCTTTAGTACTTTAACTTTAGCAATGAATTTAAATGTTCACTCTATCATCACCACCAAAAAACAGTTCCTGATGCTTAATCAAAAATTGTTATCCTATGAAATAATTAAACTATGGAACATCCATATCCTAGGATTCTAGTCTGCAATAACAAGGAACAATTATTGATAAACCCAACAACTTGGATGAATCTTTTATGTTACATAAAAAAGGGCCAATCCTAAAAGTTATGTACTTTTTAGTAAACATTCTTGAAATGACATAACTATAGAACAACAACAAATTAGTAGTGGTTGCCAGAGTTTGGGGGGTAGAGAGGATGGGAAGGAAGTGGGTGTGGTTCTAATGGAACTGTTCTGTGTATTGACTGTTGTGATAGTTATATAATTTACACGTGATAAGCATGCACAGAATTAAATACACAAATCAGTACAAGTAAAATAGAAAAATATGAATAAGACTGGTAGATTGTATCAATGTTATGATACTGAACTACAGTTTTACAAGGCATTAGCATTAAGAAAACTAGGTAATGGGTACAAGGCATCTCAACGTATTATTTGTTAAAACTGGATGTGACCCTAAAGTTTGATTTTTTTTTTTTAAGTGCTACCCCTACCAATTGGGAGAACCTGAATATGAACTGGGTATCAGACAATATTAGGGAATGATTGATAATAGTCTTATGGTTTTATAGAACAATGGCCTTATTCTTAGGAGATGCATGCTGAAACATTTAGGAATGAACTATTATGCCTGCAACTTACTTTTAACTCTTTTATAAGTATGGGGGGAGAGAAAATATAGCAAAATATTAAAGGGTTTATAAATGCTCTTTGTACTCTTCTCTCAACTTTTCAGCTTGAATTTTCAAAATAAAGAACTGGGGAAGATTAAAGATAAATTGCTCATCTGAAACTATGCTATAGTCAAGCCTAAACACCAATTAGTCTTTTAAAAGGTTTAAAAATAAGTAAATTGTTCTGGCAAAACTATACTATAGCCCCACTGACACTCCAATTCCCCCTAAAACAAAACAAAAAAAGCAATAAGAATTGTCAAGGAAACTAAGAGTTACACGGTATTGGATGTGACTTTCTGGTGTTTTTCAATATGCATAAATGTGTACATTACATATGAATATTTTTGCAAAATCTAAGTTATTTCAACATGGATTACTCTTTCTTATTTCTAGGAAAACTGGATCCCCAGAGTTGTCCTACTTTTCAAACAGGTTTAATAAACTGAAATCGCAAGAGAGAAAACAAACACTTTCATACAACCCTCCCCCATACACACACAAAAAAAACTTTGAAAGTCTTTAGTTTGGCAAATACAGTTTATTCTTTCACAAAGAAATGTTTGCATGAGAGGGGCAACCCACACATTAAATGCCAAAAAAAAAAAAAAAAAGGTGCTATAATGTGTTAATTATAGCGCCAAGGCGACAAATCATATTTTACAAGGTAAACAGTCCCTCCAAACAACATTGCATTTATGACAATGAAAAAAAAAATAAAATAAAAGCAAAACTGCACACATTCGAAATGTAGAGAGAATAAATGTGTTTGAGCTCATGTCAAAAAAGGATCCATCTCAAAAGTTCTTATATTCTCTGCTGCTAAATTTTTCCATTGGTGTTAATGCCCTTCAGTCACCGCGAAAACCCTCGTCTACTTTTCACTTCCGACCGGGGCCGCCCCCACGCAAGGCGCCCCACCTCCACGGGAGAGTGATGGGGTGGGGCTGCTTCCCGCTCAGAAACTAAGACATTAATGTCCCGTCCCTCCTCTAGCAAGAAAAGAGAAAAAGAGAGAGAGAAAGGCCAAGATGCTGAAGACTCACGTATGCAACTAACCAAGAGGAAGTAGTCGTTTAAAAAAAGCTTCCTTTTCTCTTTTAAAAACTCCTTCCTCCCTTCCATCCTCCCGGGTCACGACGAAGCGACTCCGGGCCGGCCGGGCGGGCGGGGACAGGTGGATCCCCAGCGGAGAGGCAGAGGGAGGGACGGCCAGCCGGCGCAGGGAGAGCCGCGCTCGGGCAATGAATGAGCCGCACCGCATCCGTCCCACCTGTTCCTTCCAGGGGTACCACCCCGGCCGGCCGGCAGGGCCCCCGCACCGCCCAGGCCGGGGCTCCAGCCCCCGCGGCCGGCTTCGCTCCCCAAGGCCCGGCGGCCTCCGCTCCCTTCGCTCAGGGAGGGGTATGGAGACCGGCGAGCCAGAAGCTGGGAGGACAGGGCCTAGTCGGGGACCACAGCCTCCGGAGTGAGGAGGGGACGGGAGGAGGAAGCCTCAGACCTCCCCCCCGGCGCACGGGCCAGAGTGGGAACCGTAGGGAGGGCGGGGGGGGGCGAGAGAGTTCACTCTGCCAGACGACAAGCACGAAGGCGGGGTCCCGGGCGAGGGTGGCCCGGAGCCCGTCGGGCCGAGGTTACGGGTGACAGGCCCCGGGTGCCGGCGGAACCTTTCCCACACCGCTCGCCCGGAGCCCTCACACTCACCAAGATCCGCTTGAAGAGCGCGTTCTCCTTGGGCGGGAGGCTCACGGCCGGCATCGTTCCGGCTCCTCCCGCTGCTCCCGCCACCGCCCGGCTCGGTCAGTGTGTTTGTCCGACCGCCGCCGTTCCCTGGCGGCTTCAGCCTTGAATGCCCCGATCCACCGCCGCGACCGGGCCCTCGGGTGTCACCGGCGTCTCCCAACCGCGACGCCCCTTTCCCCTTCGTTGTCTTTTTTTTTTTTTTTTTTTTTTTTCCCTTTCTCACTTTATACGCGGCCGCCGCTTCCCCCCACCCACCACGGGTCTCCGTCGGCGGTTCACGTGGTAACTGAACGGACCGACAGAGGCAGCCAAAATGGCGGACGCGAAGGGCTTTCCCACCCGGGTCATGCCTCCTAGCACGCAGGCGCGGTGACCTCCTTTCCCCACCTCCTCTGCCGCGGGGCTTGCCGGGTAACCTGGAGGCCGGCCCGAGGGCCGGGGCAGAGGGGGTCGCCGAGGCCCCGCCCACCCTGTCCGCCGCGCAGAATGACGGAGGCACCGCGGGAGCCGGGGCTGCGGTCCTCTCCGGTTCCGACCGCCTCTGGGTTAAAAATAGCCATCCTGCCGCGCAGCTGGCCTCTCATTCATTGGATCCACCCTTCCAGACTGAGCGCAGCCTGAGCCTGAAGTGCTCACATGCAGGTGTTCAAGAAGCGCTGTGTTTGATCGCAAAGTGCCGAGTGAAGTAGCAGAGGCAGAGAGAAAGGGAAGGCTTCGTGCCAGTGGGGCCTTGTAAACAGATGTGGAGAGGAGAAGGCTTTTAATGGTGTCTAAAAAGCGTGGAAGAGCTTGAGCAATTAAATGGACTTGGCTGGGGTACTTACTGGTGATTTAGTGTATTCCTGAAGGCGAGCCTGTAAAGGGAGTCAGCCAGATCCAAAGTGTCGTTTCGCACTGCCAGAGAAGCAGCCGAATGTTAAAGTGTGTGTGTTTATTTCACGGTGCAAGCCATACCATGCAGGGTTGGCGAGTGTCTGAGTCACCTTGGGTGTGGAATTAGGGGCACTGGCTTCCCTGGACCTAGCTTCAGACTAGTGCTTTACATTGTGACTCACTGAATCCCCCATCTCCAGAAATCCTCAAATCTTAGAAGCCTAAGAAGAACTGGCAAGGATACCAGAAGATTATTGCAGTAGGCAAGGTCTGATTACAAACCCCCTAGGGCAGTGGTCGGCAAAGTCATTAGTCAACAGAGCCAAATATCAACAGTACAACGATTGAAATTTCTTTTGAGAGCCAAAATTTTTAAACTTAAACTATATAGGTAGGTATATTGTTATTAACTCAATTAGGGTACTCCTAAGCTGGCCTTTGCTAAGAACTCAAGGAGCCAAAGAGCTGCATGTGTCTCTCCAGCCACAGTTTGCTGACCACTGTCTTAGAGTATCTCCTACATATACTAGTATGTCATTTCATTAACAATCACAGTAAAACTAAGTTTTAAAAGTTGCATTCCATTGATAATCTACATTTTTAATATCATATTTTTACCCTTGGTTACTTTTCTTAAATCCTCACCTGAGAATATTTTACAAGGCCCCACTGGCATGAAGCTTTAAGAGAGAATGGAAGCGAGGAAGGAAAGGAGGGGAAGAGAGAGAGAAACACGGATGTGAGACACATGGACTGGTTTCCTTTCCCATCATCTGCTCTAACCACTGAAAACATCAGCCAGGGCCTGTTGATTATTTTTTATGATCTTTCTCCAGATCTTGAATTCGATTCATAGCATTTTCTGCATCATGAAATCATTATATAATATGTAACATTGCTCTTTTAAATTTATTTACTCAGTCGAAACCATTTTGGCTCAGTGGATAGATTGTCGGCCTGCGGACTGAAAGGTCCCAGGTTCGATTCCGGTCAAGGGCATGTACATTGGTTGCGGCACATCCCTGGTAGGGGTGTGCAGGAGGCAGCTGGTCGATGTTTCTCTATCATTGATGTTTCTAGATCTCTATTCCTATCCCTTCCTCTCTGCAAAAAATCAATAAAATACATTTTTTAAAAAATTTATTTACTCAGCCCCACCGGTGTGGCTCAATGGTTGAGCATCCACCCATCAACCAGGAGTTCAGGTTTGGATTCCCAGTTAGGGTACCAGCCCAAGTTTCTGGCTCAATCCCCAGTAGAGGGCATGCAAGGCAGTTGATTAATGATTCTCTCATCATTGATATTTCTATCCCTCTTTTTCTCTCTGAAGTCAATTTTTAAAAAACATTAAATTTAGCGGAAACCGGTTTGGCTCAGTGGTAGAGCGTCGGTCTGCAGACTGAAAGGTCCCAGGTTCGATTCCAGTCAAGGGCATGTACGTTGGTTGCGGGCACATCCCTGGTAGGGGGAGTGTGGGAGGCAGCTGGTCGATGTTTCTCATCAATGTTTCTAGCTCTCTATCCCTCTCTCTTCTACCTCTCTATCCCTCTCTTCCTCTCTGTAAAATATCAATAAAATATATATTTTTAAAAAACAAAACATTAAATTTATTTACCCAGGTATTTCCCTGATTTCAGCTTCTTCCTTAATTCTCTCTGGAAAGTTTCCCAGTGGAAAAGTCTGGGACTAATGCTTGGGCTTTCTGCTATCTTAAATGTCCTCTGCTTTTGCCTAGGTCATAAATAAGGTTTTAGTAGTCAAATCCTGAAATATCCTCAATTTCTGTGATCTCTCTTCAAAAATTCCATTAAGAAAATTTTATTGCCCTAGCTCGTTTGGCCTAGTGAGTACTGCGTCAGTCTGAGGACCAAAGGGTCCCGGGTTGATTCTGGCCAAGAGCACATGCCCAGGTTATGGGCTTGATCCCTAGTAGGGGGCCAGCAGGGGGTAGCCAATCAATGATTCTCTCTCATCATTGATGTTTCTATCCTTCTCTCTTCCTCTCTGAGATAAAAAATATTTTTAAAAGAAAATTTTATCTATAGGGTAAACTGTGTTTGAATTTTAGAATATGGCCAGTGTTTTTATCTTAACTTAAAAAAAAAAAAAAAAAAAAAAACACACACACACACAACAGAACAAACATAGAATTCATTAAAAAAAGTTGTTAATTTGTAATAACATTTGAATTTCACTGCCCCCTTTTAAAAGGTCTTTCTTTTAACTATCTGAACTATAAAAAGATAGAAAAATTGTCTAACTTTAGGTTTAGGGTTTTCTTTTAAGATTAGGTTTAAGGTTAAAGTTAGGGTTAGTGTTGGGGTTAGAATTATTTTTAAGGTTAAAGTTAGGTTATGGTTAGTGATAGGGGTTAGGTTTGGGGTTATAGTAGGGTTAACTTTAAGGTTAAGTTTAAGGTTAGGGTTGGAGTTAATTTTAGGGTTAGGTTTTGATTTAGTTATGTTTAGGTTTTGAGTTAGGATTCAGCTTAGGGTTAGGTTTATGTTTAGGGTTAGGGATTGCTTCATAGCCAAAAGTTCCTAGAGCAATATTATTTGCTATGGTTTTCTAAATGTAAATAATGTACTGTTTTCCCCTTGGAAGAACATCTATTGTTTTTTGAAACAAGCAGTTGTTTCCAACAGAAGCTAAGCACCCAAACAGATGAGCCAGCAATATACTCTGATAATGTTACATTCTTTTTGACTGATAGCAAATAAATACCAATTTTTAAGATTCAGTGAATACTAATTAAGTCAACATTTTATCCGAGTCATATCCTCATTAAAATGGACTTATAAATACAGGTAACAGTTCAACCACATAGTCAGAGACTTGATAGCCTGAACTCAACAATAAAATATGTGCTCTGGCAGATCACCACTTTTTTTTTTTTTAATATATTTTATTGGTTTTTTTACAGAGAGGAAGAGAGAGAAAGATAGAGAGCTAGAAATGTCAATGAGAGAGAAACATCGACCAGCTGCCTCTTGCACACCCCCCATTGGGGATGTGCCCGCAACCAATGTACATGCCCCTGACCAGAATCGAACCTGGGACCCTTCAGTCTACCACTGAGCCAAACCGGCTTCGGCCAGATCACCACTTTTTAACAGATAAAGATCCCATTTATACTGTTAATGACAGCTTTCTAGGAAGTTAACATATCCAAGGCTAGATGGTGACAGTGACAATGATAGTGGTGGTGGGTAATTCACTTTTCCCCAAATATTTGCATATGACTATTGTCAGAATGCCTCATCCCTAAAAAACTTAGCCAAAAAGCCTATATAAAGAAAGCCTAATATGCTAAGTATCCGACCATTGGACCATTTGACCAGTCGCTATGATGCACTGACCACCAGGAAGCAGAAGCTCTGACCAGTAGGTTAGCGTGCTGCTGGGTCCCAGACACACCCTGGAGCTCTCCCGCGGTCCCTCCCTGGCCCTATTCTTGCACCGATTGGGTCTCTCTGCTTGACCAGCACCTTCTCGAAATCCAGGACCCCTCAGGGAATGTCAGACTGTGATTTCAGCCCAACCCCCGCAGGCCAGGCCGAGGGACCCCACCAGTAACTGAATCCATGTACCGAGTCTCTAGTAAATAAATAATTTACCTTACAAACTTTAATTCTACAAAAAAAGATATGTAGAGTTAAATTTGATTTATGATTCATTTTCACATATGTAAGATGTTCTCTATAGACACTTTTATGCCTTAATTAGTAAGTACTTAAATTTTATAGAAATACAACAGAAAAGAAATGTATATTTTCCACCCAGATTTAACAAATGTTAACATTTTGTGATTACTTCAGATTTCTAAATAAAAACTTAGAGATACATCAGACACTCCATCTCTCTCCAGATCCTGAATTTTATGTACAATCTTCTTGTGAATCATAAATCAATAAACATATATAATTTACATTTTATATTGCTTCAACTCTTTCTCTTCATTAACCCTACTTAGGAGGTGTAAGTTGAGTAAGAAGTTTCCCAGCAGGAAAATCAGGGACTAAAAAGTCTGTTTTCCTAGCTGCTATTCAAATCTCCTTTCCCTTTGCCTGGGTCATAAATAAAGTTTTAGCATTCAAATTCTGGAAATGCTTAAATGAATATCACGTAGCAGCTTCTACCAAAACATCACAACTATTAGCTCCTGTCTGGAATCACTTCACCGGATTTTTTTTTAATAAATATATTTTATTGATTTTTTTACAGAAAGGAAGGAAGAAGGATAGAGAGTTAGAAACATTGATGAGAGGGAAACATCAATCAGCTGCCTCCTGCACTCCTCCTACTAGGGATGTGCCCGCAACCAACGTACATGCCCTTGACCAGAATCAAACCTGGAACCTTCAGTTCACAGGCCGATGCTCTATACACCAAGCCAAACCAGCTAGGGTGACCAGGATTCTTTTCAAGATTTGATTTCACCTACAGCTGCCTATTCCAAGTATAGGATTCCATCAGCTATAACACGCTGAGAGAAATGTGCTTATACTTTATCACTCTCCCAAAATATACACCAGTAAAAGGGTCCAAAAGAACAAAACAGCCTTTTCCAGTAGCAGTACTGAAATTGGCAATTTGCTTACTGGCTCTGTACGCTCTGACTAAACCAGGTTTCTGTTCCAACTTGTTGGATACCAGCAAAAGCTGTGTCAGGACAAGCTTCCAAGGGATGGTGTAGAAAGGATATACAACTGACTGGGTGCTGAGTCGACAAGAAGAGAAGAAATTGAGAACCAACAACTGAGTCAGCATATTAGCTGAGTGGTTTACTTACTTGAGCAAGAGCCCAGGAGACTCCAACTAGGTTACAAACAATAAAGAGACTCACATCTTAGCAATCTATTTAGCCATCCATTACATGTACTAGTTAAAGTGAACCAGAAAGCATAAACAATTATTTTTTGCTCTTTAGTTAATAATTTTTGGTTTAATTTTTTAAAAAATAACATAGCTAAAGAAAATATAGAAGGACTCTGGCTGGTGTAGCTCTGTGGTTACAATGTTGGCAGGAGCACTGAAGGGTCGGGGCTCAATTCCAGGTCAAGAGCATGTACTTGGGTTGTATGTTTGATCCAGGGCCCCAGTGGGGCACATGCAGGAAGCAACTGATAGATGTATCTCTCTCATATCAATGTTTCTCTCCCTTTCACTCCCTTTCTCCTCCCTTCCTCTCCCTAAAAATCAATGAAAAGCCGGGACCAGTTTGGCTCAATGGATAGAACGTCGGCTTGGGGACTGAAGGGTCCCGGGTTTGATTCCGGTCAAGGGCATGTACCTTGGTTGCGGGCATATCCCCAGTAGGGGCTGTGCAAGAGGCAGCTAATCAATGATTCTCTCTCATCGATGTTTCTAACTCTCTATCTCTCTCCCTTCCTCTTTGTATAAAATCAATAAAATATATTTTTAAAAAAATACTATGCCCTAGCTTGTTTTGCTCAGTGGATAGAGCGTTGGCCTGTGGACTGCAGGGTCCTGGGTTTAATTCCAGCCCAGGGCACATCCATGGGTTGCAGGCTCAATCCCCACTAGGGGGCGTGCAGGAGGCAACTGATCAATGATTCTTTCTCATCATTGATGTTTCTATCTCTCCCTCTCCATTCTTCTCTGAAATCAATGGAAATATGTTTAAAATATATATATATATATCATTGGGTGAGGATTAACAGAAAAAAAATATATATATATAGAAGGAAAAGAGGTTTGCTAACATTTACTTTGCATTTAAAACGAAACTAAATGGCCTAAGATTCAAAGGCTTAGAGTTAAATTATTAAAAATTTATTATTCCCTTTTACCTATACATATTTTTACAAGGTCTATACACATCAGATCAAATTGAAAACTGAATGTACAAAAATCTGGTTCAACTGTGAAAGGCAAAACCTACTGGTCAGTACAATGTTTTTAATAGGCAAAACCCAGTTGTTTACAAACCAAGCATCCCAACGACCTTATACATAGGCTTTACGTTACAGATTTAAAACGGAGGCACGCAGAGGTCAAGTAATCTGCCTAAAATCCATGCAGCTACTATAAAAAAGATGTGAGCAGCAGGAATGGCACTTTGGAACTTAGCACTTTGAGCCCTGCCTTTCCACTCAGGGCCTCCGGGGACTGTCCAAGCCTGGTAGTCAGGTGGGCTAAGGAGGGTCCCTGGGTAACAAGGGGGAATCCCTACCTCGGGGATCAGAAGGCCTCAGTCTGAAGCCCGCCTCCCCCCAGCTGTGAGATCCTGAGCGGGTCAGGGCATGGACTCTAACATGCCAGGCTTCTCTTTTCCTCTCGGGGTTGTGAGGCTTTTCTGCGACAGGGCGAGCACACGGACTTTGGGAACTGTAAGAGGTCTCTCCAACTATAAGGTGTTCTCTGTCACCTTGGATTGAGTCGCTTGTCTTCTCGGAGCTTCACCTGTATGTTGCAGATCATACTCACGGCATGCCATGCGGTCTGTCGTGAAGGTGAAATGACAGGATGCATGTAAACCACATGTGGCGTTCATGCACAGTGCCTGGAACACAGAATTTAACCTGTTAACCGGGGAGTTCCCTTTTTAATGATGCAACCTGTAATGGGCACGTGGGTACTCTTTCACTAGGACGTCACTCCCGGAGGACGTAATTTCATATTATTATTATTTTTATTTAGTTATACTGAATTAAAATGAATGATATATATATATATATATATATATATATATATATTCGTTTATTTATATATATAAAGCACAAAAGAAAATACAAAATCACAAACAAATAATAAAGAATACCAACAAAAAAAAAAATGGAAACACCGAATTAAAAAGTTATAAATTTTACAAACAATTATAAAGATTACAAAAAATAGCCCAAACTGGTTTGGCTCAGTGGATAGAGCGTCGGCCTTCGGTCCTAAAGGTCCCGGGTTCGATTCCGGTCAAGGGCATGTACCTTGGCTGCCGTGTGCAAAAGGCAGCTGATCGATGTTTCGCTCTCATCTCATCGATGTTTCTAACTCTCTATCCCTCTCCCTTCCTTCCTCTCTGTAAAAAAAAAAATCAATAAAATATTTTTTAAAAAAAGATTACAAAAAATATATACCGTTCCTCTCAGGGCGCAACGTATATTTCAAGGATGTATTCATACGTCCTACCTGTTTTCGATATTGTTTACGTTTGACGGATTTATAGGTCCCGCTCGGTTAACAGGTTTATCAACACCACACTTCACTTTCAGTTTCCTGGCTCCTGGCGGTTGATTTTAGTAAACCTAAAGCTAGGTATCCCTGAGGAAGGGGCCGAAATAAACTCTCAGAGGACAAGGGAGAGGATAAACCTCCTCCTCCTCCCCCACACCACCCGCACCGTTAATCATTTCCTCCCAAAAGCGCACAGATGGGCAGGAGACCCAGGGAGGGAGCCCTGGCTGTGGCTGCGGCTCAGGAGCCGGCGGCCCCGCCGCCAGGGGGCGCTCCGAGGGCCGCGCCGCCCCGGAGGGCCCGGCCGGGGGGGGCGGAGCTCGCTCGGCAAGATGGCGCCGTCCGCGTTGCTGCGGCCCTTCTCCCGGCTGCTGGCCCCGGCCAGGCTCCCGAGCGGCTGTGAGTGTCCCTCCTCGCGCGGGCAGAGCCGGCTCCCCGCCTGCCCTTCCAGGGTGAACCCGGCTCGCGGGGGCAGGGGCGGGGGCGGCGGGTGGGGGGTGGCTGCGGCCCCGGCCCGGCCCGCTGTGACCTTCGCCGGCCCCACGCCTGTCCGCACCCCTGACTCCCGGCTCCCTGTCACCTACCGCCGACCCTCCTCCCAGCGCCACCCAGCCCCTCTGGGTGCGGGCGGACCTGGGGTTCCTCCTCCCGCCCTTTGCAGGAGGAGAGGCCTCCGGGGGCGCTCCCCCCCGCCCCCCGGTCCGCCGTGGCCCGGGGCGAGTGGCTTGGCCTCTCCGAGCCCCTGTTCCCCGGGCTGTCTCAGGAGGGCGCGGGGGTGGAGGGAGAATTAAATGCGGTCCTGCACGTTGTTTCCCACGAGGAGACCGGTTACAGACTTCCCGTCCCTTGCAGCGTCCGCGCGGTCCAAGTTCTACGTCCGGGAGCCGCTGCACGCCAAGCCCGACTGGCTGAAGGTGGGGCTGACCTTGGGCACCACCGTGTTCCTGTGGGCCTATGTGAGTCCGGCTCCCTGCGGTCTTGGGGAGGAGAAGCATCCGTGGGAGGCCGCCCGCTGGGAGCACCTCTCCCCATGCCATAGGATAGTTCTGTATTCGCAGATAGCATATTGGTCCATGAAGGAAATCCCAAGGATTAAAAGTATTAAGATTTTAGGGGCATGGAGAAAATAGGATGAAGCTGAAATTTGTCATTCATTGTTGCTCTGTTTTTAAAAAATATATATATTTTATTGATTTTTTACAGAGAGGAAGAGAGAGGGATAGAAAGTTAGAAACATCGATGAGAGAGAATCATGGATCAGCTGCCTCTTGCACACCCCCTATTGGGGATGTGCCTGCAACCAAGGTACATGCCCTTGGCCGGAATTGAACCTGGGACCTTTCAGTCCGCAGACTGACCCTCTAGTCACTGAGCCAAACCGGTTTCAGCTGTCATTCATTGTTACTTAGCACAGGTTTGTCATGATGGCAGTGTCACTACTTATTATCCTGTATCTAATTTTATGTATTTATTGATTTCAGAGAAGAAGGGAGAGGGAGAGAGAGAGAGAAACATCAGTGATGAGAGAGAATCATCGATCGGCTACCTCTTGCATGCCCCACCCTAGGGATGGAGCCCACAACCTGGGCATGTGCCCTGACCCAGAATCGAACCATGACCTCCTGGTTCCTAGGGCGATGCTCAACCACCGAATCATGCCTGCTGGGCTTTATCTACTAGTATTTTCTTAAGGAGGGATGGAGGATGGTTGGGTTTTATGAAGTGGATAGAGCATCGGTCTTTGGACTGAAAGGTCCCAGGTTCGATTCTGGTCAAGGGCATGTACTGGGGATGTGCAAGAGGCAGCTGATCGATGTTTCTCTCTCATCGACATTTCTAGCTCTCTATCCCTCTCTCCTCCTCTCAGTAAAAAATCAATAAAATATATTTAAAAAAATAAATTAAATAAAATGAGCATAGCTACTTTGAATTAACTTTTAAAATTTTTATAAGGAGGCAGTATTTCAGAGTGATCTATATTTGTTAGTCTCCTGTTTTTTAATTTGCCAGGAAGATTACATTTCTAATTTTAACTGTTATCTCCTTCTAGCTTATCAACCAACATAATGAAGATGTTTTAGAATATAAAAGAAGAAATGGGTTGGAATAAACTTCTTAAATGCTAACTGTAAGTATGCAATTTTATAGGATCAATAGATTATGCAAGTTAATTAAACTCTTTATCTTTTTTTTTAACTCTTTATCTTTATTGATTGATTTTTAGAGAGAGAGAGAAAGGATAGAATAGAAACATGGATGAGAGAGAAACATCAACAATCAGCTGCCTCCAGCATGCTACCCTATTGGGGATGGAGTCTGAAAACTGGGCATGTGCCTGACCGGAAATCGAACTGGTGACCTCTTGGTTCCTGGGTCGATGCTCAAGACACTCAATTGCTGAGCCACACCAGCTGGGCTGACCTCTTTTTAAATAATGTATTTTGGTTGTAGTGTGTTTTTTTTTTATTTATTAGATTTATGCTTTTTAGCACCTATATTCCTGTCTGTGACAAATTTATACATTTTACTATCTTGGTCTATCATCACTTAGTGTAATCATTTTTAACCATTATGCTCGGCCTGTGTTCAAAGAATATTAAGAGGGAAACCAAAATCATATTATTTTATTAAATCTAATAGGACTATACACAGTGCCTTCATAGCACATATGATAAGTTGTAATTATTTGTGTATTTGGTTCTTAATATCTACTTGTCATATTCCACACTTACATGTAGATTCCATGAGAACAGGAACCTCTCTGTTTTATTAATCACCATGTAGTCAGCAACTTGCTCAGTGTCTGATCCAACTAGAAGTTTCATATTTGTTGGGATAGATGAATGTATAAGGGCAGTCAATAGATGGTTAATTTTTTGCTGTGTGACCATTTCAGTATGATTGGTACTACAACTGAACAATTCCTGGTAAAACATAGCTGTGAACAAAGTAACATTCTCTGTATGATCTGTGATTCTGTGATTTAAAAGATAGTGAGTTTATGTATAATATATATACAGATAGATCAGTAGATAGATTAGGTTGATTAAAGTAGATAATTTATTTCTGCTGAGTAAAATAGTAATCACTAATGTACACTTTTCCATATTTAACTCTCAGACTCAGCTCTTTAGAGTTTGATTATCCAAATATTTGCTTTTTTTAAGTATTAATATCAACTTGCCCATGGCACTACTTCAGCCAATCAAAAGATAAAAATGAAATAGATAAAAATTAGATTCTTTTACTACTCTCTTATAGTTCAATTAAATTATTTTTTCCTAAAACTTAAAATGAGATCTTGATGCTCTTTGTAGATGTGTTTTCTAGACTTTATTGATGCTCAAAGGTTAATAATTCAGAATGGTCTAATTTTAATATTTCTGTTGGTTAATGCTATAGTTTAAGGTTAATAATTCAGAATGGTCTCATTTTAATATTTCTGTTGGTTAATGCTATAGTTTTAATTTCTTTTCTCTTCTTTATAGGTATGCTCCGTATAGAGTTGAAAGCAGTTCCAATCTGTTGAGTTGTAAGCGAGAGAGAAAAGTTATATGTGAATCTATGTAATCAGCATTTGTGTTTTACATCATTAAATGAAAAAATAAAAATACATCTGTATTCTTCAGATTGTGTGTATTGTGACAATGTGTATAAAATGTCAATTCTAAGGTATATTATTAGAAGTATTTCACTGTGAAGGTAACCTTCTGATAACAGAGTCAGTAGTAATTAAGGGCCCATTGGGAAGAAATTTTAAGGAGATAGACTTAAAAATCATTGTTGAAGGATTTATTTCTTATATTAACTTTTAAGTTCTAGTCAAAGCATTTATTCTTTAGTGTGTCACAGTGATAGAGCTACTTTATTACTCAAAATACAAAAGAATCCAAATGTTCTTTTCTTCTAGCATCATTTTGTTTAAGTCAGAAAGTAATATTGAATCTGTTATTAGAGTTTCTTCTCACTCCATTTCTTTGAATTTGAATGATTTTCACTTGGATGACTGGTTATGGTATAATATTGCTTTCATTCAATGATTAGCAAGCTCTTGACTGTTTCGAAAAGGCATGGAGAAGGGAAAGTGTTGATAGACAATTAAAATACATTTCAGCCAAAACCGGTTTGGCTCAGTGGATAGAGAGTCGGTCTGCAGACTGAAAGGTCCCAGGTTCAATTCTGGTCAAAGACATGTACCTTAGTTGCGGGCATATCCCCAGTGGGGGGTGTGCAGGAGGCAACTGGTCGATGTTTCTCTCTCATCGACGTTTCTAGCTCTCTATCTCCCTCTCTTCCTCTCTGTAAAAAATCAATAAAATATATATTTAAAAATAATAATAAATAAATAAAATACACTTCATTTTGTTCTGGCTGGTTCCTCAGTGGTTAGAACATTGGCTTGCCTACTAAAGGGTCTGGGATTAAATTCCTGGTCAAGGGCACACACTAGGTTGTAGGTTCAATCCTGGGCTGGTCAGGGCACTTGTGGAGGCAACCAATAGATATGCCTCTCTTACATCAATGTTTCTCTCTTCTGTCTCTCTGTCCCTTCTTCTACTCCCTCTAAAAATCAATGGAAAAAATATCCTCAGGTGAGGATTGACAAAGAAAATAAAGTACACTTCATTTATTACTCATCAAAACCCTTACTTGTAATCAATTAAACTTTGTTAACTTGTAATTTAAACACTTAGTTTACCATACATTTAAAAATTCAAAAAAATAAAAATTCATTGTCTCTCCATTCTGATGGTAAGTCGAAAGTTTATTGCCTTATAATTGGCTTTATGTGTGTTTTGGGCTCTGGCCAACACTTATTGTGGGAGATTCATGACAATATCTTGGGAAGTCATTTCTGAATGTAAGTTCAGAGTTGCCTTATTTTGGAATAATTATGTAATCCAAATTCAGTGAAAGACTAGACATAGCGGTAACTATTAACTTGCCAATTTGGAGTACGAGCTGATAGAGCTGAAAGGACCTTAGAGGTCATGTAGACCAACTTCATAATTTTACAAATGGAAAACCAGAGGTGAGAGATTTGTCCAACATCACTGTGGTAGGTAGAATAATGGACCCCCAGAGATGGTCATGTCCTACTCTCTGGAATCTGTGTCCATGTTATGTTACATGGCAAAGTGGAATGAAGGTTGCAGATGGAATTAAATTTACTAATCAGCTGGAATTGAGATGTAGAGATCCTGGATTAGCTGGTTGGGCCCATTGTAATCATAGGGTCCTTACAAGTGGGAGAGGGATGCACAAGTGTGTGTGAGTATGAAGCGATCTGAGAAACACTCAACTCGCCACTGCTACCTTTGAAGATGGAACGGGGCCAAGAGCCAAGGATTAGGAAAGTCAAAGTCACATAGCCCTGTTGTCACTTTGATTTTAGCCCACTGAGCCCCGTGTAGGATTTCTCACCTACAAAACCATAAGACAATAAACCTTTTTGTGTTTTAAAGTCTGAGTTTGTTACAGTAGCAGTAGGAAACTACTATTTTCACATTGCAATAGAGACCAAGAAGTCAGCTATCAATTCACAATTCAAGGAACTTTCCACTAAAATACTTAAAAATTCATAGTTTTTTTGTTTTGTTTTTAATATATATTTTATTGATTTTCCACAAAGAGGAAGGGAGAGGGATAGAGAGCTAGAAACGTCAATGAGAGAGAAACATCGACCAGCTGCCTCCTGCACACCCCTTACTGAGGATGGGCCCGCAACCAATGTACATGCCCTTGACCGGAATCGAACCTGGGACCTTTCAGTCCGCAGACCGATGCTCTATCCACTGAGCCAAACCGGTTTTGGCAAAAATTAATAGTTTTGAAGGGAAGGGAAAACTAAGACACTTGAAATTCTAGAAACAGAGCCTCAGTTGGAAATCTATACTAATAAAAGGGTAATATTCTAATTAGATCTGGTCGACCGAACATCTTCCAGACGTCTGACTTCCTTCTGGACAAAGTCATGGTGGCAGGGGGCCAAGGCAGAAGCAGTTAGGGGCAATCAGACCTGTATAGGAGGGCAAGTTGGGAGCAATCAAGCCAGCAGGGAGGGCAGTTGGGGGTAATAAGGCCTGCAGGGGAGGGCAGTTGGGGGAGTTCAGGCGGGCAGGGGAGTGGTTAGGGGCGATTGGGTGGGCAGGCAGGTGAGCTGTTAGGAGCTAGCAGTCTCAGGTTGTGAGAGGGATGTCCAACTGCTGGTGGGATCGGGCCTAAATCAGAAGTCAGACATTCCTCTAAGGGTCCCAGATTGGAGAAGGTGCAGACTGGGCTGAGGAATACCCCAATGCCCCCATGTACAAATTTCGTGCACTGACCCTGTAGTAAAATATAACTGCAATAGACACTACTATAGGTCTAGCCTTGTGAAAAGTCACCCTGTGTGGACTTTCATCTTGATTGTACCTGTATAACTCCAGGGAGAGCTGTCATGAAGACCAGGGCTGTCTAAGAAAACGTTCTGCAGAGATGGAAATGTTCTGTCTGCCATCCAGTACAGCAGCCACTATTCCCATGTGGCCACTGAGCACTTGGAAGGTGATTAATGTGACTTGAATTTTTCATATTTAACTTGAGTTAATTTACATAGCCACAAGGGGCTGGTAGCTGATTAGCACAGATATAGATTATGCTATGAGTAAACACCTCCCAGCATTGTGCTACAGAATGACTCTGGTTAATAAAAAAGAAAGAAAAGCTTTCTAAATTAAATACCGAAACAGAACTCAGATTACTTTAAACTACCAAAGGGTTATGAAGATACAGACTGACTCACAGACCCTGAGAATAGGAATACACCTGGACTCAGAAATAGTTGGGGACTGGGACTCAAATGTCATTAATACTTTTGCTCGTGGCTCTGCTGTCTGTGTACAGCCTCTGCATGCAGACCTCTTCCCAATCCACATTATAAAGAGAAAGCCACAATCAATAATTCCTGGGTCTACATTTCAGTTCAAGAGATTATCTGGACTGGAAAAGAATCATTCTAATTCTAAATTCCCAAGAGGAATGGTGGTCAAAATGATTGTTCCTCTGATAATAACATAAAAGACTTTCCATGAAAAAGAGGATGCAGACAAAATGTAGTCATGGGTCAAACACAGTCAAGTGTTTTATTAGATCAAAATCAAGTAGACCTTTTTTCACATTTAATGCCTGTGAAGAAGTCATTTAAATTATTTTTAAGTTGCCATGAGGAAAAAAAAAAAAAAGCTATACAAACTCAATTTCAAGTATAAGAAGTTGTTATGGATTGAGTTTTGTGCCCCAAAAAGCATATGGAAGCCCTAATCCCCAGCATCTCAGAACTGGGATATTGGGGCCATTGCAGATAGAATTAAGGTGAGTTCATACTGAATCCACTATGACTGATGTATTTACAAGAAAAGACAGACACATAGGGAGAAGACAATCATGTAATGATGGAAGCAGATATTGAAATGATGCATCTACTAGCCAAGGATTACTAGCAAACAGAAACTAGAAGAGGCAAAGAAGGTTTCCCATACAGATTTCAGATGAAGTATGGCCCTGAAAACACCTTAATTTCAGACTTCTAGCCTCTAGACTTGTGAAAGAATAAATTTCTATTTTAAGCCACCTAAGTCTGTAATAATTTGTTATGGTAGCCTTAGGAAAACAATACAGAAGTGTTCGGAATATCATGTTTATTTTGCTTCAGAAGAGAAAGTGAGTAGATGGGGAGGGAGGAGAGTACTGAGTGACTTCCAAGAATAATTTTAGAATTTACCATCTTGATTGAGCTTCCCCTTTCATTTTATCTAAATATTTTAGTCCACCAAGAGGGAGCTTATCAGGACTTTCTTGGTTGCTTGTTAATTTGTCTTCCTAGATACGCTTATCAATTGTTTCACTTTAGCCCTGGTTGTGTGGCTCAGTTGGTTGGAGCATCATCCCATTCTCCAAAGATTGTGGGTTCAATTCCAGGGCAGGGAACATAGCTAGGTTGCAGGTTTAATCCCCAGTGTACATTCGGGAGGCAAATGGATCAAGGTTCCTTTCTCACACTGATGTTGCTCTTTCCCTTCCTCTCTTAAAACCATTAAAACACATCTTCATGTCAGAATTTAAAAAAAATAAATTGTTTCACTTTATATCTTTTTAAAAATATATATTTTTATTGATTTCAGAGAGGAATAGGGAGGGAGAGAGATACGTCAATGATGAGAATGAATCATTCATTTCCTGTCTCCTGGATGCCCCCTGCCACCTCAGGACCAAGCCAGCAACCTGGGCATGTACCCTTGACCAGAATCCAACCCATTGAGCAAACACTCTATCCATTGAGCCACACCGGCTAGGGCTCACTTTATATTGATTTGTTGAAAGTATATGGTCATGGCCCAAGAATTTAGTGCTAAGAAAAAACAAAGCTGTTTCTACCTTTCTGTGGAGATTAGGAAATCACTCAGTCTTTGAGAATTGCTTTTAATTATATAGCGCTTAAGCCTTGAATAAGTGTGATTGATATTGCCAGTGGAGGACCTCAGATTATGTTTTCAAAACTAGTATCTTTGTCAACAGTCACAATTAGGTGGAGGTCATCTTAGATAAGCTAAGTTATCTCTAACCCTAGATTCTTGTTTTTCCAACAAGACCAAGAAAATGTCAAGGATGTGCTCAAGGGCAGCGTTATAAACAGGGTGCCTAACAGCTGGGGAACTATTGCCCAAGTCTCACAGAGGCTTCTACAGCAAAGACCTGATGTTAACGTCCTCTAGGGTTTGTGAGAAGCAGCTCGCAGAGTGAATCTGACAACCCATAAGCATGTCTTCTCTTGAGAAATGTTTCAAGATGTGGAAAGCGTGTGCCATTAGCCTGCAAAGCACACACCCTCCAGGAGCAGTGGAGCAGGTGGAAAATTCCCTCCCACTAGAGGCATGAAGTTTCCACTAAGATGAAAAGAGATGTGGAGACGTGACACTCTTATCTCAGTTTTGTCTTTCCCAGCTGGGATGGCCCCATCTAATCTAGAGGATACCGTAAGGCCCCCACCGGACTCCACATATATCGAATAAGATGGTGGGATTCAATGGATCCTGTCATATGGACACGGAAAGGCAGCAGGCCATAGTAAGAGAGCCTTGAATGTTGGCTTAGGCTGGAAGTAGAATCGTTCTGTTACTTTCATGGCTAATTAACTTGTTGGTGGAGGGCCTGGGGTCTACCCTTCCTTGTGTTGCTTCAGGTCTAAATTTGACCTCTCCTTAACTGCAGATTACCCAATTGCTCTTGTTAAGTGTTTCATCCCTAGGAATAGCTAGCTACTGTATCAAAACAACACCATCCATTTCTTTTTTTTTTTTTTTTAAGATATTTTATTGATTTTTTACAGAGAGGAAGGGAGAGTGATAGAGAGCTAGAAACATCAATGAAAGGAAAACATCAATCTGCTGCCTCTTTTGCACACCCCCTACTGAGGATGTGCCTGCAGCCAAGATACATGCCTTTGCCCGGAATGGAACTTGGGACCTTTCAGTCTACAGGCCGACGCTCTATCCACTGAGCCAAACTGGTTCCAGCAACACCATTCATTTCTGACCATTGGTTTGTACTCTTCAAATGTTAAATATTATTAGAACTGCATTCAGAATTAGAATCTACAAAGGATGTTTAGTTGCCAAGTAGCAAATAAGCAAATATTTTGTAACATGCCTTAGAGAACTTGGAACTAGAAAAACTTTGTTCATATCCTTAAAAAAAAAAAAAAAAAAAAAAAAAAAAAAAAAAAAAAAAAGGTCATTAGTTCCTAGACAATCCTTCCCACCACCCTGTCGTTTGCTAAAGGGAATAATTGCCACCTCCCTCAGAGGGTTGAAGTGAGAATTAAAGGAAATATGTGGAAGTGCTTTAGAAACTGTCAAGTGCCAAACACACATAAGGGATTGTAGTAGGACATGGTCCCTACCAAGGATTAATCGCTTAGAAAATGTTATAAACATAAGTGATTGGTATTCATATTCAAACCCTGACAAATTGTTGTAGCCACAATGAGGCAAGTGATTGAAATCTGGGGGAAGAAACTAATAACTTAGCATTTTTAGTTGATGTGGAAATGCTAGCCTCGAATCTCATAGAGGAATATACAGCATTTAGAGGGTTATCTTTAAAGTCATTGTGTGTGTGTGGGGGGGGGGGGGTAGCTCAGTTGGTGAGTGTCCTCCCATAAGCAGAGGTTGAGGTTCTATCCTGGCACATACAAGAAGCGACCAATGAATGTATAAATAAGTGGAACAACAAGTTCTCTCTCTCTCTCTGTCTCTCTCTCTCTTTTTCTCCCCCTCTCCCCCGCCCCTCCACTTTCCACCTCAAATCAATAAGTTAAAATAAAGTCATCGTAACAGTGAATTGCTGAGAGCCAGCCATTGCCTAGGGATTTCGCGACTCTGAACATCACCCAGGACACTAAAGGGAAAGCTATTCCCCCTCTCCTAGGAGAGCAAGGAGAGTGCATGAGATAGGTGGGCTCATTTCACCCGCATCATAACCGACGTGTATGTCTTTTATTTTGTTTAGTTTTTATTTATTGATTTCAGAGAGGAAGGAAGAGGGAGAGGGAGATGGAAACATCAGTGATGAGAGAGCATCACTGACTGGCTGCCACCTGCACGCCCCCCATTGGGGATCCAGCCGGCACCTAGGCATGTGCCCTTGAATAGAATCCAACCTGGGACCCTCCAGTTCTCAGGCTGGTGCTGTCCACTGAGCCAAACCAGCTAGGGCCGACGTGTGTGTTCTATTCCCGAAGCGAACCCTGAAACACTTCCAACCTTCCCTGAGGAATTCCCTGGACAACAACAGTGCCGGCAGGCAGATGCCGACTTCTCCATTCCCTGTCTTTCTGAGTTGCCTCCATCAGCTTCTAGACGTCCGAAAGCCACAGAGCATGCAGCCTGGGGCCGAGAGAGGGAGGTGCCAACGACCCACCCTCCCCACGCCCAGGGCCGCCGGGCGGAGCGGGCCGGGGTCCGCGTCCCTCCCCGGGGCGGGGCTGTCGGAGCTGCCCGCGCCCCGCAGCGCGCGGCTCCAGAGGCTGCAGCCCGGCTGGAGGTCGGTCGGCGCGATGTACCTCCGCAGGGCGGTCTGCAAGACGCTGGCGCTGCCGCTGCCGCTGCGGGCGCCCCCCGGCCCCGCGCCGCTCCGCAAGGACGGTGAGTGCCCGGCGCCGGCCCCGGAGGGCACCGGGCTCCGTGCGGGGGTCGCGGGCGCCCCTCTGCTCCTGTCCGCCCCGGGAGGGCCAGCCCAACCCGGAGCCGCGATTAGCCTGAGTTGTGGATGGAGGGGAGAGGGGGGAGGAAGGGAGAGGAATGGGGAAGGGTCGCAGGGTTAGATGCCCCGAAGTTCTTGGAGATTTTGAAAGTAGGGAACCTTTACAGCAGACTTTCTGGGCTCAAATCTTTTTTTTTTTTTTAATACAATTTTTTTAATTTAATATATTTTATTGATTTTTTTACAGAGAGGAAGGGAGAGAGAGAGAGAGTTAGAAACATCGATGAGAGAGAAACATCAATCAGCTACCTCCTGCACACCCCTCACTGGGGATGTGCCCGCAACCAAGGTACATGCCCTTGGCCGGAATCGAACCCGGCACCTTCCAGTCCGCAGGCCGGCGCTCTATCCACTGAGCCAAACCGGTTTCGGCTGGGCTCAAATCTTGATGTTGGGCAAGGGCTTTAACCTCAGTTTCCTCATTTGTACATGGGGGCTATCATAGCTGAGTGTTAATGGGCTAATGTGTAGAAAGGAGCCCGGTTAGCCCTCGCTTGGCTTACCATTTTTGTGACTTACAGGGACCCATGCGTCCTCCTCGTCCACGGAGAAGCAGAGGCCCGGGTTGTGGGGAGATGGGCACAGACCAGTGAGCCAGGCAGGTGCGGCCCGAGGGTTAGCCTGGTAGGAGCTGGTGAAGGCTCTTGAGTAAATAAACTCAGGACTTGGCCGGGCAAGGCAGGCAGCCTCGACCCCTGAGCCCGAGCCCTGGCGTTCCCCACCCTCTCCCTCAAGGATGTGGCCTTCGAAGCACTTTTCATAGACGTGGAGCTGTCCAGCTATTTGCCTCCTTCGTCCTTGCATGTATCACCTTTGGATGTGCGAACTCATGGGGGGAAAGAGCATCTTCAGACATTTCCTACAGGGAAAGTTGCACTGTGAGCTAGAAGTACGAATGGGCCTAGCACAGTGCCTGGGACATCATAGATGCTTAAGTGTGAGCGTGGCAGTCAGTATTGGTCAGGCCTCCAGGTTCGTGCTCCAGTGCAGTCCTGCCCCAGCCAGCTCTTTCTGACTCCTCATCTGTTTCCCCTCCTTTTCCCTGTCCTGATGGTGTGTGTGGAGGGTGGGGGTGGAGGGTAGGGGAGGCTGCTCCTAGACCACTTGGTAGAAAGTTCTCAGTTTTCTCAGTTCTTTCTTCACAGCGCCTCACTTCCTAACGCTTGCCCGGTAGCTTTAGCCCAGTTTGTGCATTTGAAGTGAGATAGAGAAAGACTTGAGAAAATTCCATGGGCCAATATTTTTTTTCACTTCGACTAGGCCTGTGCTGGTGATGACAGTGGGAGGGAAGGAAGGTCTGTCCAACTAGCTTTATTTTTCTCTTAAAATGCTGGTGGGAAGACGTTGCCTTACAAGCAGCAGAAATAAAGTGTCTTCATTTTTCTTGATCTTTAATACCGAGTGAAATAAAGCAAAAATTTTTTTTTCACTGATGAAGTAGAAGAAGCCATTCATCTTAAATTTTTGAAGTCAAAGGGCTGTTTTGATGGGGGCAGAAGGGGGAGGAAGAAAGATGAGACCGTTGACCTGGCCTTTTGCACTCTGGTTATCGTCTGCATCCCCCGTGGTCATTACACATTTTTTTTTTTTTTTTTTTTAGCTTCATACAGTTCAAATAATTTTCTCTCCCATTGGGGGGAAAAATGGTTTAAAATTTCTGAATAGGTAGTTAGCAATACCGGTTGTAGCACTATTGGTCTTCCTCTAACTTTCACCTAATTTTTTGTAGTACTGATTTTTTTTTTTGTGGTTTTGAAGAACTATTATTGACTGGATATTTGGCTTCAGTCATGGACATCAACTAACCTTTTATTGATTCTTTCCACTTGGACAAAAGAAAAAGTTGTTTCAGTTTTATTGAAGGATGAAATTGTAACTGCTTCCTCAAATTTTGTTCTCTAGTTTTCCTTTTAAAATGTACCTTTTTAATGAATTAATAACTTAGGTTTGCAATACATTATTTTAAAAAACACAGAAAGGCAAAATAATAGTCACCTGTAATCCAACTATTCAGTGAATACCATTATTTACATTTTAGTATATTTAATCTCCCAAGCCTTTTTTTTCCTCATGCATGTTTTTCTATATGCATATTGTTTCCACAAATCTGGGATAATCCTGTGTTGAGGGCCCCTTGGGAATGCACATGGATGACCTTTAATTATCATCAGCTGAACTCAAGGCATAGGCAGAGCCACGCCCTGGGAACATGTTTCCCCAAAATGTGGGAGACTGTTATCAATACTGATTTCTTATCTTTATCCATGTGCTTGGATGAGGAACGAATAGGACCTTGGTCTATTCCAGGTCTAAATCCCAGGAATGAGGGAATGAATAGGAAGTAGGCATACCGTTTCCCATTTCATTGCTCTTTTAAATAGCTTTGCCATAACTGTATTTAAGTCTTTACCTAAATCTCTTATAATTTTATTTATTTCTTCCTATTTAAATAACCTTTTTGATAGTTATATCTGGTTGACAACTATAAAACTGGCATATTTTCTCTGTAATAGCAAATGTATTTTTAAACCAACAAAAGCCCTACTACAGCTGAAACCAGTTTGGCTCTGTGGAGAGCGTCAGCCTGCGGACTAAAAGGTCCCAGGTTCGATTCCAGTCAAAGGCATGTACCTTAGTTGTGGGCACATCCCCAGTAGGGGGTGTGCAAGAGGCAGCTGATGGATGATTCTCTCTCATCGATGTTTCTAACTATCCCTCTCTGTAAAAAGTCAATAAAATATATTTTAAAAAAATGCCTACTACAAGTCAATGCCATAACCTCTTATCACAGCCTGTTGGGGCACATTTGTAGGGAAAATATATTTTTTTTCTAAGAGATGATCATTTATATTCAAATTAAGAACATATATGTGGATTTTTTTTCCAATTTGACTACTACAAAGATTCATAATCAGTGCAAATTTTTAAAAGATGTGCCCTCTGCAAAACATAACTTCTTACTAGTCCCCCATCAAATCAAATTCCTCTATTCTTCTCAAGTCATTCAACTCATGCCTCATGTTGTATCTTCTTCCCCTAGTGCAATTTTCCTTTCACTTATTTATCTGATAAACTCCTACTTTCCTTCAAAACTCAGATCATGTCGTTAAATAGTGGCAGCTGCTTTGAGCCAACTAGCTGAGTTTCCTCACTGTGTTTTCAAGCTGTTGTTGAAGCTTCTACTGTCGATGACAGCCTTTGTCATACTGCACTGAAATGATTGTCTGTAGTTATTTGTCTGAATATCTGTTTCTTCTTTCTAAACTGCAAGCTACTTGAGGCTAGGAACCTCGTGTGCCTTGTTTACAATTATATCCTAATGCTTCTAAGAATGGCAAACAGGGAACAGGTGCTCAACTGTTTGTTGATGGATGAATAAATGTCTCTTTGTTTTGATCTGTGAACTTTAAGCTGTTTCTAGGCTTAATTCTATTATAAAAATCCAATTCCAGGGAATGTGATGTATATGCAAGCTCTGGCACTGCTGAGTAAACGTATTTAAATATAAGAACATAGCCGGAACCGGTTTAGCTCAATGGATAGAGCGTCGGCTTGGGGACTGAGGGGACCTGGGTTCGATTCCGGTCAAGGGCATGTACCTTGGTTGCGGGCATGTCTCCAATAGGGGGTGTGCAAGAGGTAACTGATTGATGACTCTCTCTCATCGATGTTTCTGACTCTCTGTCTCTCTTCCTCTCTGTAAAAAATCAATAAAATATATTTAAATATATATATATATATATATGTGCATTTGTGTTACAGATTTATAGAAGTGTGTTAGATTTCAACATAAATGTTTTATTTAACATAAATTTCAGGTATAAATATATTTAATTAATTTTTTGGAAGAATCATCTTTTCGACTAAAAAATGGAGTACATACAATAATGGATTTCTCTTGCTTGTATGCATCTTGTTTGACAGTTGAAATTGTTTAGTGCTTTTGTCATTTCTCCTTGCCCATGCCTGCACTCCTTCCAAGAAAAGCTTGGTGCTTAGCATCAAAATGACAGATTTCATAAGTACTTGTCAAATTATATTGGGAAAATGCCAAGTGGAATTATTCCTATGCCATATTCCCTTAAGCTAAAGTCACTTGATGTTAATAGATTCTAGGTTCACTGAGCAGAAATGTTTTTAAGAAAGAATTATTTAAAGTACTTTTGCTTAAGCAGTGGAGCTAACCGTGTTTAAACTTGTTTTCCCAGCATCTGTTCGCTGGATGTCATCTAACAAGTTCCCTGGATCATCTGGGTCGAATATGATCTACTATCTGGTTGTAGGTGTCACGGTCAGTGCTGGTGGATACTATGTAAGTGTTCAACCACAGTGTGCAGGAATTCTCATATTTTACAACCTGTGGTAAAACTCAAAGCAATGTTAAGTCCAGGACATGAGATTAAATAACTAGATGATGATGATTTTTAAAGTATAAACTCAATATTTCTTAATACCTCTAAGAATGGATGGCTTTCAGTAAAAACAATCTATAATAATAAAAGCGTGATATGCTAATTAGATCAGACAGCTGAACGACCTTCTGGACTAAGCTGGAGCTTTGAGGGCCAAGCCCCTTACATGAATTTCATGCATCAGGCCTCTAGTATTATTATAAATACTAATAGTAATAACTGGACAGTCTAGGGCTCATTTAATAATTACAACAATTCTAGAAGGTAGATACTATTATTAATATTTAACAGGAACTGTTTTCAAAATTAAATTTTTAAAAAGTTAATAGACTTTATTTCTTAGAGCAGTTGTAGGTTTATAGAAAAATGAACAGAAAATGCAGACAGTTCCCATGTATTTCCTCTCACCCCTGTTTCAGCTTTTTCCTATCAATAATCGTGCTTTAGTGTGGCATGTTTGTTACAACTGATGAATCAATATTGATATGTTATTACTAACTAAAGTCCATAGTTTACATTAGACTTCACTCTTTGTTCGTTATAAGTGTTTTGACAAATGTATAATGACATGCATCCACCATTACAGTATTATACAGAGTATTTTCACTACCCTAAAAATCCCTCATGCTCTACTTATTTATTCCTCCCCCCCCAATCTTTTAACTATCTCCATAGTTTTTATTAGCTTTATATCTTTATATATACTCTTATTATTTTTAAAAAAGTAATATTTATCCATAAATTTTAAAAATTCAAAATAGACATATATAAAATTAAAATAATGCTATCCTCGCTGGTCCCCATATCCACTCCCCCTTAGATAATCACTGTAAAACAAAGCTTTTGATAATATGATTTTGGAACTAAAACAATGGAACATTTGTGAGTCAAATAAGATAAGCCTATTGAATCATTCCCCATTTTGTCATAAATTTTCTAAATTGAAATATACTCTTCATTGTGAATAAAAATAGAATAAATCATTTGGAAACCAATAGGAATACACAATCACGGCATTTTGGCTTGATACTACAGAAATATGCATAAATGGATTTTTAGTCATAACTAGGAGCAGTTTGTAGAACTATATAGATGGCCAAATCTAAAAACATATTCTATTCTTCAGTATTTTGAGAGCCTCAAGAAGCCAGGAAACTTCAAACATGTCATTTATGTTATTGTCCTCTACTAATCTATCAGCTTTCACTCATACCCAGCCAGGTTCCTTCACTGTTACTCTCATTCTGTTGCTGACTGCTGAATTGACTGCCCAGGGCTACTACAGTTGGGTATAGGGCACTGGAAAAATAGATAGTGGACTAGTCCATATGATTTCGTGGGAAGCCGGAAAACTTAATTTCACCTGGGCATCACTGTATCCCTAATTAGGTTTACTAGTGCTAGACATGAATCTCTCCTGTATACTAAATCTTTCTTTACAAAAGCTATCTTAAACTGGAAGTTATAAACTGACTGCTCCTGAGAGCCCTTTCTGGCCTTATTGTCTCACAAGGGGAATGAAATTGGACAGGTGATTATCTCTAAGTCCCCTTCCACCTCTAAGATTATATAGTTTTAATCTTAAATCTTGGAAGTGTTAATTCTCAAGAATCTTGGGCTACTTTCAGGAGGAGATACAGAATATGAGGTATTTAAAAACCTGAATTCTAGTCTTCTCTTCCCCTTCTTTGTCCTATCTAAGTTCTATATTAGATTTATCTGAATTGAATCCATGGTAGCCAAGAGCAGTTTTTCATTTCCAAGTAAAATCTACTATGAGGGCCTCTTAAATTCTGTGAAAGGCCTAGGTCATTTCAATTATTTGAAGGTCTGGGTATATTAAAAAACATAATGCAATACTGATTTATTGAAGTTGTGATATATATTTTTAAAATATTTTTACTGATTTTTAGAGAAACAGGAAGGGAGAGGAAGAGAGAAACATCAATAATGAGAGAGAATCATTGATCAGGTGCCTCCTGCATATCCCCTATTGGGGATTGTACTTGCAACCCTGGACCTCTGCCCTTGACCAGAATCAAACCTGGGACCTTTCAGTCTGCAGGCCAACACTCTCTCCACTGAGCCAAACCAGCTAGGGCAAGTTGTGGTATATTTTAAATGCTTATGTTTAGTAAATAATAAATTTGAGGCCCTCTCTTCTATCAGGCCTTCTATTCTGTGTTTGACTATGTTGATTTTGGAAAAGCAGGGTTCTCTGGGCCACACAGGAGTGGGAATTATTCAATTCTGCGTTAAGTAGTTTTTTGTTTTTTTTTCTTATCTCGTGTTCTAGCCCCTTGAACAATAAGACTAATGTCCCTTAGGATGTTACTGCTGAACTTCTACACAGGTTCAGTCTGCATTGGTGTGCTAAGAACCGAGGGTTCTGACTCGGCATATTGTTCCTAATTTGTCTTTATCTTTCTACCTACTGGGCATGTTTTCAGTTATCCTTGACCCTTGTTATAGCATTGTTCCTTTCCTTCTTTTCTACTCAATGACAAAGGTTTTCAAATAGGAAATACAAGAGTAAATGATATGGCCCTGGCCAATGTAGCTCAGTCTTTCTCTATCTCTTTCCCTCCCTTCTTTCCACTCTCTCTCTAAAAATAAAAAAAATATCCTCCAGTGTGGATTAACAACAACAACAAAAAGAGTAGATGATATACATTGTCGTTTCTTCTTTGAATTGCATACACCTTTGAATTTGGCATGATGAGTATAAATCATGTTGAAAAAAATGCTTGTGAATAATAAGTACACTTTTCAGACTTACAGGTCAGTAACATCAAAGCAAGTCAAGCACACTGGACATATAAAAGATTTGAAAGAAGAAAGTAAAGCAGAATTACAGCCACTTCAAGGTAAAGTGAATTTATTAGTATTGTTTTCCTTAAGGCTCTGATTTTTATCACCTTAGCCTAGCAATGAACACTGTTTTCTTTTGGCTTCTTTACTGACTTAATTCAGAATGACTCTGCATAGGAGTTCGTCAAAAAGGAAAAGCCACCCAAAACCTAGAAAATATTGTTATACATTTTGGATGAGTGCATTAAATAAGTGAAAACGTTTTGCATTTATACTGCTGACCAGTAGTTTTGACTTCTTTGTGTGGTAATGTTACTTTTCTCCTACTCAGGCCCCCATTCATGGAGGCATAATTTTAGTATCTGCCTCTCAGCAGCCTGACCTTTCATTAACCTCATTTTTTTAAAATCATAAAACTAATGCTTGTTTCAGTTTTGATTGAGACCATCCAGTATCTTTGCCCAAAGTATACTTGGCATTAGTATAATCAGTCATGTCTGTTGAGTCCCTCAGTTGGTCTGATTAATAAAATGGCATATACAGGAACAGAAACTTTACATTTTCACCCAAGTAAATGTTTCTTGCCTTAAACTGCTTGCTTGAACTATACTTTCTTTTATTTCAACTATAATACTATTAATATCAATGACTATGATCTCTATTTGGTGACAGATAATAGCTGCTCATGGACCAGTTTTAACTTTTTAGTCATGACAATAAGAAACAGAATGTATTAGTGAACATTATTTAATGTAATCATAAGAAGGCAGATTGTAATAATAATAAAATGCATTTCCATAACATGCTAGTGGTTTTAAAACCCTTCTTGTACACAACATTTTAGTCAATCCTCAAAAAAGTTCTGTGGATAGATGACATTTTACAGATGACAAAACTGAGGTTGAGAATAAATTAGTGATTCCTCAGAGTCAATGCCTTGTAAGTTGGCTACATTTCCATGCTGTCTAGTGATGCGTGGGCTGTTTATTTTCCTGTTCTTTGTATTTGAGTAAGTAACATATATAAACTATTTTTTTAAGTTCAACATGTTCAAAGAGTTTACAGAAAAGCAGACCCCCCATTTTCCCTTCCAGAAACAGCCAATAATATCAATTTCTCTGAATCCTGAAGAGAGTCTTTGCAAATATAACTAAATATCTATGCATATAACTTACCCTCCTTCTGTCCTAATACAAACAGTACCAAACTGTTTTCCCACTTCACAGTCTATGTTGAAGACCATTACATAGAGATGTCTCATTTTTTAAAGTGACAGCACAGTGTTCTTCTGTCTTCCATGCTCTTTCGATTAATACTGTGCTTAATGGGCTAAATCTTACAGGTGAAAAAGAGAACCTGGAGGGAGTGGAGGAAGCAAGTTCAGCAGCCCCTGAAGTATCTTCGGAGGAAGCAAGTTCAGCAGCCCCTGAAGAATCTTTGGAGGAAGCAAGTTCAGCAGCTCCTGAAGTATCTTCGGAGGAAGCTCAGGTGGTAAATGCTGAAGAAAGCTCAGATGCTGAAGAAAGCTCGGATGCTGCAGGCAGAGCAGAGGAGGCTTCAGCCTGCCCTGACGCTGCGGAGGTTGCTCAGGTGGAGATCACCGTGGTTGGTGCTGAAGCGGAGCCAGAGGTTCCAAATGCCACTGCCTGCGAAAGCACCCAAGTCAGCACCTCGGAGGTCACCGGTGCAGCTCCGGATGAAGCCGCTGCCATCAATAGTGATAAAGGTACAGCCTTGGAGGTCACCGGTGCAGCTCCGGATGAAGCCGCTGCCATCAGTAGTGATAAAGGTACAGCCTTGGAGGTCACCGGTGCAGCTCCGGATGAAGCCGCTGCCATCGGTAATGATAAAGGTACAGCGGAGAACGAAAGCTCTGATGAATATGCTGAGCTGGAAGAAGAAAATTCTCCAGTTGAGTCAGAACCCTTTGCCGAGGGTGTTTTACAGGAAGAAGAAGCCAGTGTTGGTGCTGAGGCTACGACTCAAGGCTAATCTTGCAGATTCACACTCAGCATACACGCCACAGCAAGTCTGATAGGTGCTTTTGTAGTTTTAGGTTGTTGTTTTTTTTAAAGGCTCCTTTTCTAAAAAACTCTAATGTGCCTTGAAGGTGTTTGGTATCTGCTGATAGGTTTCAGGGTTGAGATATTTGAGATTACACGTGTCTGAAGTTTCCTAGTCTCTGAGGTCAGAATATGACACTGCAGTAAACAGCTTCAAGAGTTTCATCTTTGGGTTTAAGTTTTATATCATAGGAATTGAGTTATCTACACAACCTGCATCCATGTTAACTTTGCTGTGCCCTTACCTTACTGTAATGGATGTAAATGTAGATTCTCAGGTTTTGATTTGAACTCATTTAAATAAAATTTTAAAATACTTATTGCTTCTATTTTTATTCACCAATATATGTATAAATAATACAGTATATATTAACACACACACATACACACACACACACACACACATAACATCACATGAACATTGCAATATTATCCAAGAAATCATGTAGTCTAAGGAGGACTCTGCATATAGCAACATGTTATAGTACAATGGGGCTGTGCTCATATTTTCCATCTCAATTTAATTCAGCTTAATCAATGTATATTAGGGACTTACACTTTATGCCAGGAATCATTCATTCACTGAACAAATATTAACTGACCACCTGCAACCTACCAGTTTTAAGTGATGAGAATTTAAAAAAAAAAACACGATAAAAAGTCCTACCCTTCCCAGTTTATATTCTAGAGTGTGATCAAACAATAAACAAAATAAATAAGAAAATTGCATAATACGTATAGGAGACACTGATAAGTGTTTTAAAAAAGAAAAGTAATGCAAGCAAAGGGTGATACATGTTGGTTAGGGCTGGAAGTTGTCACTTTAGATAGGGTAGCCAGAGACAGCTTTACTAAGAAGGTGTCTTGTGAGTAAAACCTTAGGGATACATAAGGGACCAATCATGAGGATATGAGTGGGGGGCAGGGGAGAATCATTCCAGATGAGAAGTGCAAAGGGTTTGAAGCAGAGAGAATTGCCAGGTGCTCAGTGTGGCTAACGTGGAGTGAAAAAGAGGGACAATAGTTGGAGATGATTTCAGAGAGAAAGAGACTGGTTCTGCAGGGATGGGCTAGATCGCACAGGGTCTGGTAAGATTTGGGCTATGCTTGGAGTAAGGTGGCGAGTTGTGGTGATTCTGGATGCTCTGCCCAGATCCCCTTAACTGGGCCAGTACATTTACTCTCAGCCGCTGTTACACACACCTCTCCTCAGAGGCAGCTCACAACGACTAACTGCCATAGTGGTACGTACAACAGGTGAGGCCAATTTATGCTCCAAATTATGCCCCTGCCCCCACCTCTACCCCCCTCCCCCGGAGCTCAGGCTAAAGTTGATTTCCAGCCAACATTAGGTCCTTGCTAGCTTTTCTCCAGTCCTATCTGATTGTCCTCCTCTTATTCTCCCGAGAACACCCCTTCAGCAAATCTCTTGCAAATAACACAAGCCAACTCAAAGTGAACCAACAACAGGAGGATAGTTATTACTATGTAACTAGCTATCCAGAGGTCGGGCAGCCCCAGGGTTGGCTTATTCTGTGGTTCACTCTTCAAGAACCAAGCTGTTTCTATCATTCTGTTCTGCTATCAAGAATGTTTGGTCTTGAGAACCAAGATGGCAGGATAGGTAAACGCCTGTACTTGCCTCCCACAACCACATCAAAATTACAACTAAAATACAGAACTATCATCCGGAACCGCCGGAAAGGTGGCTGAGTGGAAGTACTACAACTAGAGAGGTAAAGAAGAAAGCACATTGAGGCTGGTAGGAGGTGTGGAGGCATGGAACGGGCTGGGCTGGCCCTGGGTGTGCCGCTTTAGTAATCTGGAGGGAGATGGCCTCTGCAGAGGCTGCCTGGAGGAGTGAAGGGTCCTAGCCCCACACCAGAATCCCAGCCCAGGGTTCCAGAGTTGGGGAAAGAAGACCCTACGTGCTGTAAAAACTACGGACTGTGAAGCTCTTTATCTGACCTTCAATTCTAAATAATAGCTTTGCTGGTAGAGTAATATTGGTTGTAGCTTCTTGCTATTCATCACTTTGAATATTTCTTGCCACTCTCTTCTGGTCTGCAGAATTTCTGTTGAAAAATAGCAATGTATGTAGTGCCCGTTTTCTGTCAGAGTGTATTGTCAGCATTTAGATTTTTGCTCATGTGATAGGTGAAAACTTGTAGTGTAGTTTTAATTTGCATTTTCTTTCTTAAGAATGAGGTTGAACATCTTTCCATTTGATTAAGGTCCATGTACATTTATATTTTTCTGCAATTTATCTGTTCATATCTCCAGTGAATTTTTTGGTGTTGTCAGTACTTTCGTGTGGTTTTTTTGTTGTTTTTTTTTTTTAGAAACTATGTACTAGAGTTGGTAAGGTTTTGTCTATGATATCAATTATAAATATTTTTCCAATTTGTCATTCACCTTCTTAATTATGGTATTTTTTTTTTTAGTACAAAAGATTTTTAAATTCTAGGTAATCAAATTGCTGTGTTGTTTTGAATTTTGAGCCACTGTTAGTGTAGTGAATTGGGATAAAAAACAACCAAATTCTTCCCTTGTATGCATAATCTTGTGAAGTGTGACTTTTTCTTCCTATCAAAAGATGCAGTCTGGCCCAGCCAACGTGGCTCAGTGGTTGAGTGTTGACCTATGAACTAGAAAGTCACGGTTTGATTCTGGGCCAGGGCACACGTTCTGATTACAGGCTTAATCCCTAGGGTAGAGTGTGCAGGAGGTAGTCAATCAATGATTCTCTCTTGTCATCAATGTTTCTATCTTCTCCTCTTCCCATCTGAAATAAATTTAAAAAAAAAATAAAATAAAAAAATATATTTTTTAAGAGAAATGCAGACTGTTTTTCTATGCCCTTGAATTTGGCTTGCCTTGTACTCTGATTTGGTGGAATGCTGTGAAAGTGACTGTGAAAGCACTCATACTCTTGGAACCTGAGACCACTGTGTGAAGAAACCTGGGCTAGCCTCCATGAGAATGAGACCATATGGAGAGAGAGGCCCCACTACAACTAACACTAACCCAGATAGGAGTGAGGCCATCCTAGACCATCCATCCAGTTCCGTGTTGATGCCGGAGGACTGCAATTGTCTGAGTGAGTCCAGACAGGAACCACCCAGCTGGACACAGAACAAACTGCTGATCCAAGTAATTGTGAGCATATAAGATAGCTGTGTATTGAGCCATGAAAATGAGGTAGTATAAGCAGTGATATGCAGTTAAAATAGTTAGGAAATGAAACTTAACTTGGATTTTGGTACAGACTTGCTTTGTATTATTGCATTTCACATTCCTCACCAAAGATGAAGAAAGAACTAGCTGTGGTCTGGCCAGTGTTGCTCAGTGGTTGAGCGTCAACCTAAGAATCTGGAGGTCATGGTTCAATTCCTGGTCAGTGCACATGCCTGGGTATGGGCTCCATCCCCTGTGTGGGTGTGCAGGAGACAGCCAATCAATGATTCTCTCTCATCACTGATGTTTCTATCACTCTCTCCCTCTCCCTTCCTCTCTGAAATCAATAAAAAATATTTTTTTAAAAAAGAAAGAACTAGCTGTGCCCATCTGATCCCAAATTTGTCTGGCTCAACTTCTAGACCTATTGTTGCCTTTTTTGAAAACTTCCTTAGAACAACTAAATGTGACTGCATACTGAAGGATTTTTCCCCCCCTTTTAAAGTCAATATTTATTTAATGCTGTGCAAGTGACTTTGAGAATTCTCTTGAAGCAGCAGCTATCAAGTCCAAAAGAAACCTATATTTTTATGAACCTTTTTCAATTTTAACAAGCAATGTAATGCAAGTTTAATAACAGTTGTCCATAGAAAGCACTTTTATTATCAGACCATTGACTGATTTTAATAAAATAAAAAAATACATGACCCTAGCTGGTATGGGTCAGAGCATCAGCCCACAGACTGAAAGGTTCAGTTTTGATCCCAGTCAAGGGCACATACCTTGGTTGCAGCTCGATTCCCAGCCTGAGGGAGGCAACCAATCGATATCTTTTCCTCTGCCCCTCCCTTCCACTCTCTCTAAAAATCAATGGAAAACTATCCTCAGGTGAAGATTAAAAACAACAACAACAACAAAAACACCCCCCCCCCCCACACACACACACACACAAAAAAACATGTTAAAAAAACTCAAAGTAAGCCGGGCCAGCATGGCTCAGTGGTTGAGCATTGACCTCTGAACCAGGAGGTCAGGGTTCGATTCCAGGTAAGGCACATGTGTAGGTTTCAAGCTCCATCCCCAGTGAGGTTTATGCAGGAAGCAGTAGATCAATAGTTCTCTCTCATCATTGACGTTTCTATCTCTCCCTCCCCTTCCTCTTTGAAATCAATAAAATATTTTTTTTAAGGTCAAAGTGGGATAATGTGGGGCCCAGAATGTGAAACCTATAGTAAAAGCTAAAAACTGGCAGCAGAATCAAATAACCATGTTACTACATTTTGATAAAGACAGATATAAAGGAAGAATAATTTTAGAAAAATGCAACACCCATTCTAATGAAACACTGGCATTTAAATATTACTTTAAATGTAAAAACAAATAAAAATATTACTACAAATTTCTATTACTTTAATTCTTGAAAGAAATGTATGATACAGTCATGAACAATACATTTGAAATAACTACCCAGTCCTTTTTTAAAACAGTCAGGGTATTTCAAGCCAGCTTTTGAGAGTTGCGGCTGCATTCAGGAAAGATTAGTTTCTGAATGTGTTAGTAATTTCTGTGCCAAGTATTTGTCCTGTCAGATAGCATCTGATGACCAGAAGCAACACTGTCCATTATAATCAAGCATATTATCTAATGTTTTTCCTAGTTAAATAATTCTCTAAATATATTTCCAGAAAAAAATATTTATTTTACTTACCATTTTGGCTAAGTTTTTAGCGAATAAGTTGGAGGAATTTGGAA